GCCCATGAGAAATACCACTATTAAACCAACTTTTGCAGCGATCCGCATCTTGAGACCCAGGAAAATCCAAAACGGAATCAAGAGAACAAGAAAATCCGTAATAATTGTGATGATAGCCGATGAGATGTAGAACGCTGGTCCATCAATCTGACGTTCTGGTTTTACAGACAGGTCCCAGAAAGCATTGATAGGAATGGTTTGGAATACCACGGTCAAGAAGATCGCAATCATCAACGCCACATTAAAAGCGTTTAGGCCGTAGATGGTCCATCTGATACCACGATTGTGGCCTCCAAGTCGAAGAAGGAAGAAAAGAATTGATGACTTTACTAGGGCCAGGATAGGGTTGTAAAGGACCTGCATTATCCAATTGTAAAATAAGACAGGCTCGATATCATAAGACTTGGGAAGATCTTTAGTATGGAAGCCGATGTATTCGTATCTGAAAACTATCAAGGATGAGTGCCCGCTCTTGGGGATGTGTTGCACATAGCACTTACAGTAGTAATACGGAACATGTAGGCCGATAGAAAACAGCTACCTTGGTCAGTCATCAGATTGATCTCATCGGCGTGGTAACCTTACCATTGCGACTGTGACAAACCAGTCATCTATAGCTAGTCAGTCAAACCAACAGATCTCACATGCAGCGTTGTCGCGAACTCACCGATACCGATCTGCTTCTTACTAAATCGGGAGTACATGCGGGCGATCCATGTGACGAAAGCAAGAGACGTCATGAGAAAAATGATCGCGATTCCAGTTTGCTGAGTCGCATTCGTTGGTATTTCCGAGACCGGCACATAACCACGTCGGAAGACCATGTTGGCAGCTGTGCCGCTGTCATTTTGGTCCATTTTGGAGTCAATTGAGTGAGAGAATGCCTTCGTCAGCGGTGGGGAAATTACTATATAAGTCGAGACAACGAGGGCATGGAAGCAGCCACTTCGTCAGTAATTTGGGCATTCCAAACGCCTTCCAGGCGAAGTGCGAGAACATTACCAGGGGTCTGCTTCATCATCAACAAGGGCCAAACTCTAAAATCAAAAGGTCATCTGCCAACATAAGCCCTAGTCGGTCATTGTAGGGATCCTACAGGCTTGGACTTTTCTAGTGTTCTTTAGCGACCTCCGGGGCAGCCACAGCTGGAACTGGGATGAGGGGTAAACCCTGCGTCGTAGGGTCGTATTATTGATTCTAGAGGGCAGTTCCCCCATATCTCACAACAGGGAAATTGATCCGGAGCAGGGGACGGATTCTAGGCCTTTGTTGTGGCGTTGGAAGGGTTCCTTTTTGTGTGTGTCTTGCGCAGCTTTGCAATTAAAAGTTGGAATCGTTAGCTCTTAGCTCTTAAGAGCATTAAACTCGCAGCTAATGCCCAAAGAATGAAAAGCCACTAATTACGGAGTATACCATCGGTAATTCACGGCTCTTGAACTACCGGCTGGCCCCTCCTCATCTTCATTGTGGCTGTTTCTCCACCTCTTTAACCGATGTCTTTAACGGGATCTGGCGGCCGGCTCCAGGATTTCATTGTTAGATCCCTGATCCAACTACTTTAGCCCCGCCAACCGGATGAGATTCCAGCGTCTTGGCTGCTTGGCATCATAACCACAACCAACAACCAACACTCTGCAGGTTTGAGCACTAAATCTCTTACGGGAGGTGGTAGCGCCCTCAAACCTCAGGGTTCAAACAAATGTTTGGACGATGAACATGTTCATCCTTCTGCAAGATTAACTTCACGATAGATTAAACCATCGGATGACATGCTGAAGTCTAATCCATCTCAGGATACGACTTATATATGCTATGCTAAGACCGTTATGAGTTCTATGCGTGCAATTTCTCGGGGAAGGTTAGGTTCTTATTGCACATCCTCGCCTATATTCCTGACTCGCTTTTTGTAGCCGATTTGTCGGATAAGCTGCATGACGCAGGGGTTTTTCTGTGCCGCGATATCCAGCTCAGGGTTTCCTTAAGTCCTTCACCCCAGCTGCATAAGCTTAAAGACCGAACGACGGTGATAATTAATAGTTCTGGAGAGTATTCCAATGCAAGACCCTAGATAGCACATTTCTTCACCCATGAACCCTTGTTCCAGCTGAATCTTGCGTTACCGAGACATCCTCCAAGAGATTATGATGCGCTGACAAAGACGCATGCATAACGGCAGCTCTTACCCCCTTATACTCATAAATATACCTCAGTGTTGTCACATTTTGAGTTCCAGTTGAAGCAGGCACTGTTTCGTGTGGTGGCTTGCATACTGTCACCTTCCTCCCATCGATCTCCCGCCGCCCCTCTCACTCCCAAAACAGACGCCATGCTCATCACTCCCAGCCTTTTGGGCAGCCTCCTCGCCCTACTGGTCTCCCAGAGCGGCACAGCCTATGCTGCTGACTCAGAGCAGACCAGTGAGGTCGGCGAGACTGTCAAAGGTGATTACTTGGCTGAGGAGAAGTTTCAGCTCACGGACGCCTCACTTCCCCAGATTGATGAGATCGATCCCGATCATGCCTCACTCTTCTACCCTGAGAATGTCTCCACCAAGCGTCGAAGTCTAAGTTCTCGTACTGCGACGAAATGCAAGACTTTCCCTGGAGACTTTCTTTGGCCGAAGGAGCCTATTTGGAAGTTGCTTGACTTGATCACTGGTGGCGCTCTTGTCAAGACTGTTCCCATTGCAGCGTCATGCTACGATAACCTTGGTGTTTACGACAAGACTCGATGTAGTTATGTCACTGACAATTGGTTCAACTCCTCTCTTCAGTAAGTCAGCCGTACACTACCCTACCTATTCTGTAGCTGATCTTGCCTAGTATCGCCGACCCAACCTCAGTCATGTGGCCCTTGTACCAAGGTCGCACATGCCAACCGGGCGATGAAGTCAAAGGGAATTGCACCCTTGGTGGCTATCCATCCTACGTCGTCGATGCGCAGAACGTTGCCCACATACAATTGGCTGTGAATCTTGCCCGCTCGCTTAATATGCGACTGGTCATCAAGAACACTGGCCACGACTTTAATGGGCGATCTGCCGGTGCCGGGGCTTTGTCGATCTGGACCCATCGCTTCAAGGGTATCCAGTTCTTCAAGAGCTACAAGACCAAGTCTTACAGTGGGCCTGCCCTTAAGGTTGGAGCTGGTGTTATTGGCTCTGAGCTCTATCAGGCGGCTGATAAGTATGGTGTTACTGCTGTTGGAGGTGAAGGTTTGAGCGTCGGCTTTGCTGGAGGATATCTAGCTGGCGGTGGACACTCGCCCATGTCCCCTCTCTACGGCATGGGTGCCGATCAGGTAAGAACCTTCCATTGACATAGACTTGATGACACACTGACACGACATAGATTCTCAGCATCGACGTCGTAACTGCAGACGGTCAATTCCTCACTGCCAACCAGAACGAGAACACTGACCTCTTCTGGGCCCTCAGCGGCGGTGGCGGAAGCACATACGGTGTCGTGACCTCATACACCGTCAAGGCATACCCCAAGATTAATGCTTCCATCATGACATTCTCTTTCGGCACCAGTGACACGGTCTCCTACGATACCTTCTGGAAGGCTGTAAAGGCTTACTGGAAGGCTATTCCTACTTTCAACGATGCTGGTAACTATGAGTACTGGGGTGTCTTTCATGGAGCAGGCGACGACCTCATCTTTTCTTTCTTCCCTTGGTTTGCGCCTAACCATACTCTTGCTGAACTGAAGGCTTTGACTGCACCTCTCTTCAAGACCTGGAAGGACCTGGGTATCGAGCCCGATGTTGTCGCGTCTGAGCATGATAGTTTCTACGGAGCTTGGTCGGCCGGTTTCCCTCGAGAGGTTGTCGGTGGTGCCAAGACCAAGACTGCTGGTCGTCTCTTCCCTACGTAAGGACTTCCCTCACATGTTCGTGTCGGTTAAGCTAACTGTTTCCTTCTTTTAGTGAGAACCTTGTTGACCCAGCCAAATTCGACAAGACCTTTGATGCACTCAAGAGTCTTTCCGACAAGGGTGGACAGGTAATTGGCTTCGGTATCACCGGAGGGCCAGGCCCTTATCCAGATAACGCAGTCAACCCTGCTTGGCGAGGCGCTGCCATGTGGGCCATCTCTGTCATTGACTTCCCTGAGGGCAGCTCATGGGATGTTGTTGCTGAGAAGAGCAAGACACTGACGAATGATTGGATGAAGCCGTGGAGAGATGTGACACCTGGCGGAGGTGCTTACGCCTCTGAGGCTGATGTGACTGAGCCCAACTTCCAGCAGTCCTTCTATGGTGCTGATAAGTATAAGAAGCTTCTCACCATCAAGGATAAAGTCGATCCTAATGGTCTGTTCTATGCGCTCCAGGGTGTTGGTAGCGATCGATGGTATGTCACGGACCAGGTTCCTGGCGTGCCTACCCAGAATGGTCGTCTCTGTCGCTTGTAGACCCAAGGTCACCTTCGCTTATCCCCTTTTTGCCGTTGTACATATTCAAGAAGATCGTTTTTTATATAATCTAGGAGATGGGATGACCAATTCCAATCAAATCAATTGGGCCCTTCGTGATCACGAAACTTGTTTCTTAATTCTCCAATGGGTGCCCTGTCAGTGACCAAAGGGCGGCAGCGTCAGCATGTCAAAAGCCCAGGCCACATTTATGCGGTCAACAAACAAGTTGTTAAAAACCCTTCGCATGAATGAGACAACAAAAAACAGTAATTATGCCGAAATACCATTCGCCTGTCTTATAAGCGATATCCACCATAATGGCAGGCTATGCTTATTCTGCAGCTATGCGCAGCGATTTGCCCTAAAAGGAAGCTGTTCCTTGCTTGTTTTTAAAATTAGAGTGACAAATCTGATGTGATCGACAGCTGACGGCATGATCGACTGACGTATGAGAGGCTGTGGAAACAGGGTAAGCAGTGCAGATCGCGGGCTGTGCCTAGATCCCCTCGGGTATAAAAGCACGGGTCAAGACTATACCATAGCTTCTTGCAACAGTTGGCAATCACATAGAAGATTCATCATGATCACTCAAGGCCTCGTCTGGCCTGTCCTCGGGCTTCTTTTCAACTCCGTTTCAGCGGGTACCATTCGGCAATCAGCACTAAAATTAACCGTCAAACACGAGGGTACACTCAACCCAGCCATAAACGCCGACTTTCCAGATCCATCAATAATTCAACTCGAAGATGGCTCCTGGGTCGCTGTCGCAACAAACGGCGGTCCACCAGACAGCTACCGAAAGCTTCAAGTCGCCACGGCTAAAGATCTTCTTGGTGAATGGACCTTGCAACAGGAAGATGCCCTCCCCGATAAAGGCTGGACAACAGGCGAGAACACCTGGGCGCCCGATATTCGCCGGATCGACAGTGGAGAGTACGTCGTTTACCTGAGTCCTGAGATTGAAGCTGGCAGACATTGCATTGGTGTCGCGCGTTCAAAGAATGCAACTGGTCCTTATACATACGACGAGAAGCCTCTTGTCTGCGGACCAGATGACCTCAAAGGCGCAATTGACGCGAGCGGCTTCAAGGATCCCGACAGTGGCAAGAACTATCTCATCTATAAAATTGAAGGCGATGCATCAGGTCCAACAGGCGGTACACCAATCATGCTCCAAGAAATCGAAGGCGACGGCATTACCTTCATCGGAGATGCAGTCAAAATCTTCGACCGCGTCGGTAGTGAAGACGGTGTTCTCGTCGAAGCACCAAACATCGTCCGTCTTGGGAACGGGAAATATGTCTTGTTCTTCAGCAGTCACGATTTTCGCGATCCTTTATACAATGTCAAATATGCGTACGCGGATAAGTTATCGGGACCGTATACGCGTGCGGAAGAGCCGCTGATTGCGGCGCCGGATTTTGGACTTGACGCGCCTGGCGGTGCGACGAGCAATGAGGCAGGAGATACTTTGGTCTTTCATGGATGGTGTCCCGATAATAAGAATATTCGATGTATGTATAGCGTTGAGTATGAGTATGAGTGAATGGTGAGGTTCACTGTGGGAAGTGCTTAACAGAGAGGCCGTACAAACAAAGATTGAGGTACTGCGTGTGGCTTCAAACTTAGATTCTGTCCTTTCGAGCAAATTCAAGATCAGTAATAATTGACCAGTAAGGTACTTAATCTTTTAAGCATTCAAGATTTCCGAAAAACGTTATAATAAGTATCTTACAAAGAAGATAATACCTCTAATAAAGGACTTTACTCTGAAATGAGCTAAATGGCTCTGGGTGTTTGAGAGCATTGCAATTGCTGACATAAAGATAAGAACCATACCCAACAAGTGAACAGTCATCGCGCCATGCTCAATTGTGAAGAGACTTGAGCTGAGGGAACTTGTCCTCCAATTTGATCATGAACTTATATCTCGCCTTCATTTTCGCATTCACCGCGAACCCTCCAAAGAACCCTATCGACCATCCAACCATGAACACACCGACGCCAGCTATAGCTAACGGGGGCACACTAGCGATGCCACCCAGAGCGGCTACTCCCAATCCACCGACGCAAATGTTGCCAACGGTAGAGCCCCACTTGATCTCCTTATCGCAGGCTTGATGGAGTGATATCATAAGTCCTTTGAGAGTCTGTATCACATCCATCGATGGCGGAATGATAATGTAAGCGAGTCGGATAGCAAGGTCGTGGCAGTTCCAAAAAATAGGCATGTACCTCCAATCTTGCCGCAAAGTCGTGTAGTCTATATATTCCAGGTTAGCTCTTGAAGGGTAAGACAACCTATCCACCTAATATACCTCGAGTTATCTCCTCATCAGACATATCTGTCATCCCAATAACCTCTCCACTGTCTATGTTGCAAATTTCTCCAACAGACCAGGGCTGGCACGCATTCAGGCTTGCTGGTATCATGCTACTATTGCTCCGGCTACTCCTCGACGGCGACATCATTGTGAAATCGCCCGGGTGATCCCAGAACTTTGCCTCTCTGAACTTCTGGAGCAGACTCACAGATGTACTCTCCCAAATCTCGCGGTCTATAACACATAGGGCATAGTGCGTCGTGAATCTGAGTCTGGATGCCAGATCTGGCAGAGCATTGTTCTCATGGCTTGACCAATCAATCTCAGTACTTTGCTGTGCTCGGTACCCAGTAGCATGAGCGATCGACTGGAACGATTCGCCCACCGGAGTGGTTATGAGGAGAACAGCTCGTCGGCCTGCGTATCAGAGATTTGTTATCGGCATACATTCATTATGCTGTAACTGAGTCTCGAGAGAATTACCTTCATGCCCGAAGGGCCTTGCTTCGTTTGACTGTTCTGACACCATCTCCCAGATCAAGCAGCACCTTGGGTTACGGTGAGAGTGTCAGTCACAGGGCAAATAGAGAGAAGAAGAATGGTAATACCGTAGCGGGAATGAGAAGACGGGTTCAGGTTGCAGTACAATGAGGTGCTATATATTATCGTAAGATGGGCGGATGCCTCTCAACGGTGCCTAGCAGTCCGCCTTACAGGTGTGACTACACCCTCTTCTCCCTGTGGCTCAGAGTGCGTTCATTGATTGATTAGGGGAGGGCCTCTTCTGGGGACAATGAAAGTGCCAACAACGGGGGCAGTGTCGGTGGCCTACCTTCTCGGCCAGAGGCAGAGTACTTGCAGATGCATTATAAGCGTTTCACTTACCGCTAGGCCACTGTCTGTTGGCCAATATGCATTTTAAGTAATATTCATATCGCTTATAACAGAATACTACTTAGATCAGCATATGAGGTCTTTATAGTAATAAGAGAGAGAAAAAACAATATCATTACAATTTGATTCTCAATTCAAAAAGTATGATGCAGCGAATTTTCGACCACGCCAGGAGTCGAACCTGGAATCTCTAGAGAATTCGGGAGCTGGAAACCGAAATCTAGCGCCTTAGCCATTAGGCCACGCGGCCGGAACTATTGGTGATTGGCTCGCTTCTGGGAGCGCTCAAGTTGACGACGCGTCCCTGCGCGTGACAGGGCGAGGAATAGGGTAGTTCGACGTAACGTGAGGAGTACCGTTAATTTCAATTACTCCCATATGTTAATCGCTGCTACTTAAAGAGAGTTGAATTTTCTCTATATCTAGCATATTACCTCTTTCTCTTTAGCATAAAGATTCAGATCAATATCTCCATTCAACGTGAGTAAATGTTAGTTAATCAAGATAAGCGATTTGGCCAGATTGAAATCGTGCACGAATTTGCTAGACCATGATGTCGACTACCAAGGCACTATTTAACGATTGTACAAAATTTATAACAGTAGCTCTCTTTGAAGGCAGAACCTCCCTTCCAACACTCTTTTGCTAACCCTACTTAGTCTCCTGTAGCTTCAGCAGCTTCTGCACACTCGAGCGCTTGAGCATATTCTCAGCCCATTTCTTAACATGCGGATAATCATCCTGATTAAACTCCTCATTCGGAATTCGCGGCTCGGCTGTATGCTGCCAAGTGAAGAACGCGACATCCACATATGAGAGCCGACCACCCAAGAACCATACGTTTCCATCCGCATCAGGCTCCTGCTTAGCCAGATGCCCATCCAGAACGCCAGTTACTCGATTGACCTCTTTGACATAGCGCTCGCGAGCTTCGGGAAGTGGCTGGTAGATAATGAACCACATTGCCTGGCCGTAATACGGTCCCTGGCCGGTGGTCTGGAAGAAGAGCCATTGGCGAGCGTGGTATGCTTCAGCTGTGCCCGGTTTGAAGCTAAGTTTGTTGTCCTTGTCGTAGGTCTCGGTCAGGTACTCGATGATAGCACCTGATTCCCAGAGAGTGAGGTTGGTGTTCGGGTCCTGGATAGAAGGCAGTCTGCCGTTGGGGTTGATGGCGACATACTTGGGGTTCTTGACGTCGGTGAGAGGGATGATTTCTGTCTCATAAGGGAGTCCTAATTCCTCGCAGAGGAGGATGATCTTGCCTGCGTTGGGTCCGTGGACTCCCAGCAGTTTGATAGGCTTAATTTCTGCCATTGCGATGGAGGGTGAATTGTGAATGATAGATGGAAAGGGCGCGGATGTGAATTGTATATGACGATGAAAGTCCCAGTAGAGATGATAGAGTGTTGATAGAAGTTCTTCTTATGGGGTTGCATCCCTTTAAATACATGACTTCCCCTTCCTGCACCCAACTCAATTACGTTCTTTGAGAGTCCAACCGACTCGAGACTAAGCATGACCGCGGAGGGAACTGACAAATATGAATAACAGTGGTATAATAAGTGATTAGTCAAGTTGCGATGAGGTTCGAGGGTTTTGTCTGATTGTCCTCATGTAAGCCGAGTAAAGTGCCTGGTTCCGCGGAACTGGTGGTTCCAGTTTGATTGGCTGGCTTATGAACAGCGAGCAACATAAGTACCGTCCCCGAATTGCTTTACAAATTAACAAATTTACAAATTATTTCATTAAACTATTTGATGTAAAGATAACTGAAGCGTTAGACAGACCGATATTTCTTGCTTCGAACCTAGTAATCAGAGCGATGAATCCAATACGTATGATGGACCCGATGTAACACGACAAGTCATGCGAATTATCCGCAACCGCCACAACCATGCATATCCAGTCTAATACATATACGTACACTTGACAAAAGTTCTAAAAGTATTATATGAAGATCATCGTGAAAATTTCATTCTTTTACGAGGTCCTGCTCGTCTCCGAAGACTACATCCGATAGCCCGACTTTGAACCGAGACAGTCCCACTCTCTCGGGTTTGGCGATCGGAGTCCGATTCGGCTGAAGTCATCATCCTCGCAGGAAACTCAATCCCAGGCCGGCAAACGGCACGCGACCGAATGATAATATCAGTCACGACACTGGCTAATACGAATATAAATACGATCACCGCTATCTTCTCTATGCCAAGAACTGGATAACACTCTCCAGACTGACATTCCCATCAAAGAGTCTTCAATTGACAATGTCACGCGTCGCTTCACTATCACGACGTCATCTTCTCATCAGCCTCACTCAACAACCAAAACGCTACTTCTCAGCTACTATGACTCAAGCAAAGGACACATGGTCCGCAGACCAATACGTCAAGTTCCTCAAAGACCGCACCCGCCCTTCCACAGACCTTCTGGCCCATGTTCCCAACACGTCTCCCAAACGCGTCGTAGACGTTGGCTGCGGCCCCGGCAACTCAACCGCCGTGTTAGCCGAACGCTATCCCAACGCTCACGTCTCAGGCTTTGATTCCTCAGCTGATATGATCAAGAAGGCGAAACAGACTCTTCCAAATGTTTCGTTTGAGGTCGCTGATCTTTTGACCTACAAGCCTGAGGAACCTGTTGACGTTCTCTTCTCCAATGCTGTTTTTCAATGGTTGCCCAATAGGCAACGCATTGAGATTGTGACAAAACTTCTTGAGCATGTTGCGCCTGGTGGAAGTCTCGCTTTTCAGGTCCCGTTCAATCTAGAAGAGCCAAGCCACGCTTTGATGCGAGAGACAGCTGATACACCCAACATGCCATGGACAGAGAAACTCAAAGCTGCCAACTACTCACGCGACCAGTTCCCTTCGCCAACTGAGATTTGGGATGGTTTGAAGCATTTGTGCTCTGATCTCGATATTTGGCAGACGACTTACATGCATGTTATGGAGAATCATGAGGGCATTGTTGAGTGGGTCAAGGGGACTGGCCTTCGACCATATCTCGATCCGTTATCTGAGTCTGAGCAGGAAGCCTTCGTTGATGCTTATTTGAATAAGTTGAAGAAGGGTTATACTGCACAGAAAGATGGGAAGGTTCTTCTGCCGTTTCCTCGGTTGTTTGTTGTTGCGACTAAGGCGTAAATATGGAGCCGAAGGCCCAAAGCATTATATATATTACTGTGGGTAGAATAAGACAACAAGTGAGCTTGAAAATCTGCTGCATGACTAGGGACAGACTCTGAGCGTGTGATTGGGCTAGGGAATGTCCGCGATAGCCGCCGTGGCTTTAGGACTTATCATGATCGATAACGCCTGGCCAATAAGCAACATTTGTCTCACACATTGCGTACTGATTTATTATGCGACGCAGGCTCTGGAACGAAAAAGAATGCAGCTTGAAACGGCGGTGTCCGCAGGCTGTATTGCATATGGTTGCCTTAATCTGCCTTGGGCACGTATGCGCCGCAAGGCAACTGATATGAGCCTCAAGAGCTTGAAAATGAAGTCTGTGCTAAGAGGAAGCTTTCCCGATCGTACTTTCGCTTTTTTAGATTGTAATTGTTGCAGACAAAATCACAGCAGATCTTGGGAAGTATGTCTAGTAATATCGAAATCGAAACTAGTCCCCTCCTGGCAGAATCCAACACTGATGAAGCCAAAAGAGTCCGAGATGAGGCTAAGGCCACACTGCAGCAGAAATATCCGACTCTCGTTGACATGGCTGCCATCGACATACTGAAAGTCTTTGGAGCTATGAGAGAGGCACGACTGGAGATTGCGGAATTATGCATTTCAATATCTTTCCCTCTCGTTATTTTACAGTGCCGTTCTCTAAGCAATCTTCTGGCATCTCTGTCTGCATTCGATGATCACGGAAAAGTACCCGAAATGACGTGGCATGCACGAAATCTCTCCATGTTGGGCAAACTGGAAAATGGATTTGGCTACTCGTGGAGATACCAGTGGTGTCTTGTGTTTGATCGCTGGAGCGATCAAGTCAAAGATTATCACTGGCTTAGTGACAAGACTGGCGACTTGCGGAACAACGTTGCCCACATTCGGCCTATTTTCCTCTCTGTGAAAGAGGCGTTTTTGCAGATTGACAAGATGGCTGGGACATATCTAGTGGACTTATTGTCGGACGTACAGCACGCCTTTGACATGTTTGAGCATAGGTTGGCGGAATGCTCGGCGAAGGCCGACGAATTGCGTGTCGAACAAGGTAAGACTGGGTTGACAGTCCCCGGCTCTTCTTTTGTTAATTTGATACTAATCTCACTAGAACGCCCCAAGCACCTCTCACCATTCGTCAATTCTTCTAGTGGTCAATCATGGTCGAGCGGCTCCAATATTCCATCAGGTGGCATTACCCAGAGAACCTCATTCGGGAGAGATGGCAACACCACTGCAGTCCAGATGGACAACAGTTCTACCAAGCCCAAGGAGAGGCGATTGACGAAGCTACGACAGCGCTTTAGCATCAACCCTGACGCGCGTGAAAACCATTGGACAACTCTTTTTGGACTTGGCAAATCACCCGTTGTCCTGATCCTTACCACCGCAATGCCACCAACCATCTACTCTACCATTCTATGTGGACCTCCGGATGTAGTACCTGCGTTAGACAGCAACTTCTACTCAACGCTCAGTCAGTTCATCTCATCACTCGCAGGACTGTACGTCATCATGGAACCAATATTCAGCGGAAATAAGAAGGACAAGATCAAGACAAGCTTTCCTAGAACGTTCTACACGATGCTCACACTGTCGTTGCTGACGAGCCTGACGAGCGCGGTCACATACGCTTGGAGCCCAGCGGCTAGTATTCCTCTGGCATACGTATCTGGACTGGCGCTTAATATCGCGACTCTATTGATCATTCAGGACTCGGGCAATCAGATCAAAGAGACCAACAGATACAACGAGGACTTGGTATTTGCTGTCAATGAGTTGGAAATGGAACTGGCAGAAAATCGGGCGGAGAGATCGTAAAGAGCTTAGTTGGATGGTGAATTGATGTCGGCGGGAGAAAAAGGTATTCGAAAACAAATCAATTAGTATACACCACGAGGCCCTAAAGTAATGCTTTGTTCATCACTGGAGGAACGAATATGACTGTGAACGCGACGCGTATGTAGCAACTGAGATATGCATCTATCGAAGTATTACTGAAATTTCTGCACGTGCCACAGCCGGAGTTTGCCATTCCTCCCCGGACAACACTGCAGTTCCTCGACAACACCGTTAATCATATATGGCAGAACGAGAAGAAAGCAGTCCTGCCATCGAGGCGCACGGCTCAGATGAAGGGCCTCCTTCAAAGAGACAAAGAGGCTTCATTGCCAGACAGGTAAGCATCATACCGTCTCACCGCGGATGAGATGACTCAAACATGATAGGCATGCGAATACTGTCGCCAGAAAAAGACAAGATGTGATGAAGATTTCCCATGTGGACTTTGCAAGTCCCTCGGTCTTCAATGTAAATTCACCCAAAGAAAAGCAACGCGGTATGTCTCATACTCCTTCAACTAAACGCCAATGCTAACAACATCAGGAATGAAGCTTCTCTCGGCATGATCGTCAACATCCTCCGTCGCATCGAAGGTAAAATCGACGACTCGAAGCCTCACGACTCGCATCCCACAGAGCATCGCTCCATCGCCGCCGCCTTACGACCGTTCAACCCGAGATCTCCAGCAAACTCAAGCGAAGTACTTGGCGTCCCATCGTTTCTGCGCCACGAAACCATCGACTCACCAGCTGCAACAACTGATCCCAATCCCGCTATTTCCTTCAGTGCGCACCAGGTCCTTTTCTGGCCAGCTATTCAAGCGGCGCTTCCTGAATCTGTAAAGTTAATGTGTCAGATGCAGGGCGGTACATACTCTACCCGCCTCGAAGCTTCACGGCCGAAGCTCCCGCACGCGGCGTCTGTCGACATATCATCAGATTGGCTATCTAAACTTAGTATTGCGACGTTGAAGCAGTTATCTGATGTTTATTTCACGACGTTTAACCTCGCAAACCCTATTCTGGACCAAAAGACTTATTTCCAGCGCACGCTTGGCGTTGCGATTGACGGGAACTTTGGGATTTGTATCGAAAGCTGTATAGTTCTTGTTGTTATGGCTTTAGGGTCGATGGGGCAGAAAGCGCTGCAGGAAGCTGGGTTTGCTGGGACGCCGGCGTCGAGTCCGTATGTTGGACAAGACGCTGAGATGCCGGGACTGGACTTTTTCAATGAGGCGAGGAAACGGTTTGGGTTTTTGATGTGTGAGCAGGACTTACAGGCTTGCCAGTTTTATCTACT